CCCTGTCCCTCCTCAGAAGCATTTGCTTCTGATTACCCACTTTCCCAATCTGCCCTCCTCTCTATCATCCCCCTACTCTCTTGTCCCCTTCCCCCCCACCCTATTTTCCTGTAGGGTAGGACAGAGTTCCATACCCAATTGAGTGTGTATGTTATTCCCTCCTTAAGTCAAATCCTATGAGAATAAGATTCACTCATTCCCTCTCACCTTCCCCCATTTCCCCTCCACTGTAAGAGCCTTTTCTTTTCTGGGTTTTGGTTTTTTTTTTTTTGTGAGATAATTTACCCCATTCTACCTCTCCCTTTCTCCTTCTCCTAGTATAATTCTCTCTCCCCCCTTAATTTTATTCTCCAGATATGACCCCTTCATTTTCAACTCACCCTGTGCTCTCTATCTATCTATCTATCTATCTATCTATCTATCTATCTATCTATCTATCTCTATCTGTATATACGTACATATAATTTTTTCCCCTCCAACTATGTTAATACTGACAAAGGTCTCATGAGTTACAAATATCATAATCATCTTTCCATGCAGGAATGTAAACAGTTCAACTCTAATAAGTCTCTTATGATTTTCTCTTTCCTGTTTACCTCTTCATGTTCCACTTGAGTCTTGTATTTGGAAATCAAATTTTCTATTCAGCTCTGGTCTTTTCATCAAGAATGCTTGAAAGTTCTCTATTTCACTGAATAACCATTTTTTTCCCCTGCAGAATTATACTCAGTTTTGCTGGGTAGGTGATTCTTGGTTGTAATCCTATCTCCTTTGCTCTCCGGAATATTATATTCCATGTCCTGCGGTCCCTTAATGTAGAAGCTGCTAAATCTTGTGTTATCCTAATTGTGTTTCCACAATATTTGAATTGTTTCTTTCTAGCTGCTTGCAATATTTTCTCCTTGACCTGGGAATTCTGGAATTTGGCTACAATATTCCTAGGAGTTTTCCTTCGGGGATCTCTTTCAGGAGGAGATTGGCAGATTCTTTCCATTTCTGTTTTGCCCTCTGGTTCTAAAATATCAGGGCAGATTTCCTTGATAATTTCTTGAAAGATGATGTCTAGGCTCTTTTTTTGATCATAGCTTTCAGATAGTCCGATAATTTTTAAATTCTCCTGGGTCTATTTTCCAGGTCAGTTGTTTTTCCAATGAGATATTTCACATTGTTTTCTAATTTTTCATTCTTTTGGATTTGTTTTACAGTGTCTTGATTTCTCATAAAGTCACTAGCTTCCAATTGCTCTATTCTAATTTTTAAGGAAGTATTTTCTTCAGTAATCTTTTGGACTTCCTTTTCCATTTGGCCAATTTTTCTTTTTAGGGCATTCTTCTCCTCATTGACTTTTTGGACCTCTTTTGCCATTTGGGTTAGGCTATTTTTTAAAGTGTTATTTTCTTCAGTATTTTTTTGGGTCTCCTTTAGCAAGTTGTTGACTTGTTTTTCATGATTTTCTTGCATCACTCTCATTTTTTCCTCTACTTCTCTTACTTGCTTCTCAAAATCCCTTTAGAGCTCTTCCAAGGCCTGGGACTGATTCATATTTTTCTTGGAGGCTTTGGATGTAGGAGCTTTGGCTTTGTTGTCTTCTTCTGATTGTATGTTTTGATCTTCTTTGTCACCAAAGTAAGATAATATAGTCTGACTCTTTTTGGGCTGCTTACTCATGACCCGGACAATTACTTGAGTTTTAAACTCTTTGTTAAAAGTCTGCTTCCAATGTGGAGAATGTACTGTCCCAAGCTTCGGGGGTTTGTACAGCTGTTTTCAGAGATACTTCTAGGTATCTGAAAATTTTCAGTTCTTCCAAGGTGGTATGAAAAGGGGCGAGGTGTTTTCTCTCCACTGCCACAACAAGCTCCACCGCATCAGTGTTCCTCCTTGCCCCAGGACCGCCCCTCAGAACTGTGACCCAGATCCAAGCATGGGCAAAGCAAGAGATTCCTGCCTCAGCCCTGGCAAAGAGATCCCTGCAATCCCCCTCTGATCAGCCACTTGATTCCCCCTCAGTCTGTGGGCTGGAAGCTCAGAAGCCAGCCACTGCCCTCAAGGCAGCTGAGATCTAGCTTCTTCTCTCACCACAGTCACAGACTTTTCCCACTGACCTTCTAAGTTGTCTTTGGCGTTCATGGGTTGAGAAGTCTGGAAACCACCACAGCTGTCCACGATTCAGTCCTCTGAGGCCTGCTCCATAGTCTCTGCGGCCTGCATGCCCACGCCAAACTGGGCTCCTCTCCCAGCCTGGCACAATATACCTTTCTGATCAGCCATCCTGGCTGTCTTTGGCTGGAAATTGTCTTTTTGTGGGTTCTGCTGCTTTAGAACTTATTTAGAGCCATTTTTTATAGGTATTTGGAGGGGTTTGGGGGGAGAGCTCAAACAAGTCACTGCTTTCCCTCCGCCATCTTGGCTCCGCCCCAGGGACTTCCCTGATAATTTCTTGAAAGATGATGTCTAGGCCCTTTTTTTTTTTTCAATCATGGCTTTCAAGTAATCCAGTGATTCTTAAATTATGTCTCCTAGATCTGTTTTCCATGTCAGTTGTCTTTGCAATGAGATATTTCACATTTTCTTCAATTTTTTTTAATTCTTTTGACTTTGTTTTATTGTTTTTTGAAGTTTTGTGTAGTCATTAGCCTTTGCTTGCTCAATTCTATTTTTTAAGGAATTATTTACTTCAGAGAATTTTTATACCACTTTTTCCATTTGGCCAATTTTGCTTTTTAAGGAGTTCTTCTCTTCAATGGATTTTTGTGCCTCTTTTACCATTTGACCTATTCTGCTTTCTAAGGTTTTATTTTCTTCAGTATTTTTTGTGCCTCCTTTACCAAGCTATTGCTTCTTTTTTCATGATTTTCTTGCATCCCTCTCATTTCTTTTCCCAATTTTTTCCTCTGCCTCTCAATTTTTTTTTTCTCTTTGGCTAGGCAATGGGGTTAAGCGACTTGCCCAGGGTCACATAGTAAGTGTCAAGTGTGTGAGGCCAGATTTGAACCCAGGTCCTCCTGACCCCAGGGCCGGTGCTCTATCCACTGCATCACCTAGCTGCCCCATCTCTGATTTGATTTTTAAAATTCTTTTTGAGCTCTTCCAGAAATTAATTTGTGAGCCTGAAACCAGTTCACATTTTTCTTTGAGGCTTTGGATGTAGCAGTTTTGACTTTGTTGTCTTCTGAGTTTGTTTTGATCTTCTCTGTCACCATAGTAACTTTCTGTGATCAGATTTTTTTTTTTTTTGTTCTTTGCTTATTTTCCTTTTCCTTTTATGTTTTTTAACTTTTGTTTTTAACTTTTAACTTTATGTTGGGCTCTGCTCCCAGGGTGGAGGGGTCGCTGTCTCAGGCTATTTTCAGACTTAGTTCTGGTGGTCTGTAAGTTTTTAGTTCTTCCAAGGTGGTATAATATAAGGAGAGATGTGCTTCCTACTCTTCTGGTCTGTGAGTAACCACAAGCACTCTTCTCCACCCTGGAACTGTGACCAGGGCTCCCACGGCTGCGAGTAGTTCTCCTTGACCCGATCTGCATATGGGCAATGCAACAGTCTTGTGCCCAGTGTGAGCAAAGAGACTCCTGTGATCTCTTTCTGGCCAGTTGTCCACATCCTTGCCGCTTTTGTGGTCCGAGAATTCCAGAGGCTCCTGGTGATGATTCTGTTGCCCCCAAGGTCTGCTTCTGGCTTGCCAGCACACTGCCTGTGCTGAAATACACTCCACTCCCACTCCAGCGCAACAGATCCTTTCCTAGCAATCTTCTAAGTTGTCTTGGGATGGAAAATTGTTTCACCTGTCCTTTGGTGGGTTCTGCCACTCCAGAATTCATTTTGAAGCATTATTTTAAAGTCGTTGGGAGAGCGCAGGCTAGTTTCTGCCTTTTCCTCCATCTTGGCTCCTGACCATGAACTTTTTTTGGCTCCATCAACTCTTAGAGACCACCTCGCAGGTCGTGGGGGGCTGGGTTTGGTTTTGGTGGAGACATTGCCCTCATCTTGAGAACCCAAGGTGGGGAAATTGAGGCAGCACGGTGAAGCTGGCTGTTCCATGTATAGTAGGCATTCGGTCGGTACTTGCTGAATTAAATTGAGCACAGTTAAACATCCTTGTGACATTATACCTTTGGGAAGTAATGGTATTTTTATCAAATACACCATTATTGAACAAGGCAAGAAAGAGAGGAGATGGCAAAGCACGGGCCCCACTGCCTTCTCAGCTCTGCAGCACTCTTTGGCTTAAAATCTACCCTACAAGGAGATTCATATTGGGAGAGTGGGGTGAGATTGGGAGGACGAGAGAAGAAGGAACCTTGCATTGAGAGTCAGAAGAACTGGGTTCAGATTCAGGGGCTCAGTGATTAGAGCACTGGGCCTGGAGTCAGGAAGACCTGAGTTCAAGTGGTACCTGAAACATGTACTGGCTGTGTGACCCTGGGTGAGTCACTTAACCATTCCGTGCCTTGGAGCCCTCATCTGTGAAATGAGGGGATTAGACTCAGTGGTCTCTGGTCCCTCCTAGCTCTAGTTCTCTGGTCCTGTTCCCAGTTCTGCCTCTTGGGCAGGCCTCCCAACTTCTCTAGGCCTCCTTTATAAAATGAGCCTGGGGGCTCCCATCTGGCCCCAGACCCTGTGAGCCTGAGTCAGGGGTCTGGCAGAGCCGGGTGGAGAGTCACTGGGTTTGCCCGGGCCTGGGGTTGTGGCCTTTTCTCCCACAGGCACCGAGCTTCGTTTACACAGCACGCTGGAGTCAAATCGTAGCGGGGCTTTGGTTGGCAGATGCCCATGCTGTGGAGTCCCAGGCGCCTCAGGCCCATGCATATATATGCACCTGTCGCAGGTGAGCCGCTCATGCCTTTGGCAGCTGGCTCAGCACCTGCCGGCTTCCTCGGTGCCTCCAAAAACTCTGCTTCTCGTTCATCTGTTTCATCTGGCATCGGGAGTTGGTTTTTTTATTTCCATCTACTCATCCTCAGTTTGAGATTTTCTCTTTTTCATTCTCAAACTTTCCCAGGACAGACCGCTTCTGTCGGAAGCAGCCTGGAAGAAGGAGAAGGATATCGTGTCCAAGGAGATTGAGAAGCTGCGGATGTCGATTCAGACGCTGTGTCGGAGCGCCCTCCCCCTGGGCAAGATCATGGACTACGTCCAGGAAGACATGGACACCATGCAGAATGAGCTGCAGCTGTGGCACGCGGAGAACAAGCAGCATGCCGAGGCCCTGCAGAAGGAGCAGAGGTGAGGGACCGCGGCTGGGGCTGGGCCGGGGGTGCCCGAGGCAGGGAGGACTGCCCACCCTCTCGAGGCCTGGACCCTGCAACCTGAGAATTAAACCTTTGGTTTGTATTGACATAATGAATGGAATTTGAAATGGCGGAGGAGGCGTTTTTAAAATAATACGTCCAAATTCCCAAAGCTGTGAAGCCACTTAAAAATTCCAACTGTTGGGGGGAAAAGCAAGCTTAACAAAAAATGAGGTATAGTTTAGGGAGGTATTTGAAAGCCTTTGTCAGTATTGCAGTGAAATCTCTGTCTGGGCCAGGAGCAAAGCTGGCTCTTTTGTAATGTTTTGGGAGTCGTGTTTTCACGCAGTGAATTGTACAGTGCCCTTAACCACTGATGTGTCAGATCCATAAGAGGCTGCATTTTCTGTTCATGACTAACAATGACCCAAATCTTCCAACATGCCCCAAACGTGCCATGGCCGCATTGACCCAGAGTTAGAAAAGACCTCAGAGGTCATCTCGTCCGACCCTCTCTTTTTACATTGATGAGAAAACCACCCAAGGTCATTGAGAGAGTAAGTGTCAGAGGTGAGATGCAAACCCAGGTCCTGTGACTCAGAGCCAGACTTCTCTCCACTAGGCCCACTCTTGTCAGGCTCTTCACAGAGGCCATGCCCCATGCTAAGAACAGAATTCCTCCTCTTCTCTGTCATCCAGCCTGCCAAGTGTGTTTTCCCTCCCTAGATTCCTTAATTTTTTTAGACGTGTGACTTCGTGAGTATAGGGAGAGAAGTTCCCTTCCCCCAGCGCAGATTAGCATCTCATCTCTGGTGATACAGGCCTGGAGTTTAGGGGAGACGTGGAGGCCATCTGCACAGAGATGGTAATGAACCCACGGGAGCTGACGAGCTTGCCAAGAGGGAGGGGTAGAGCAAGAAAAGTCAGGAGCCCAGGGCGGAGCCTCGGGGATGCCCGTGGTCAGTGAGAGACCAGCAGAGAAGGCTGAGAAGGAGCCCCAGACAGGTAGATGGCGAAATGTTAAAAGCCAGGGAAGAACTCACGTCCAGGAGGAGGGGGAAAGAGGCGAGGGAGGGGAGGAGAGAGTCCGCAGCGTTACGTGCGTCGGAGAGGTCAGGAAGGCGCAGACCTGAGAAGAGGCCTCTGGGTGAGCAATGGAGCCGGGCCAGGAGGAGGCCAGGCGAAATGGGAGACATGTAGAAACGGCGTTTGAAAGGACAGGTGACTTGTTTTTTTAGATTGACGGTGATCTGAGGATGTTTCGAGGCAGCAGGAGAGAATCCAGTAGGAAGAGATTAAGGACTAATGAGGAAGGGGATGTGAGGGAGTGGGCTGCCAGAGGAGGTTGGAGATCAGGGGGTGCATACGTTAGAGCTGACCACGAAGTTCTCTATGTGGATTCAAAGAATTCATCTTCACGGGTGAAAGGTGTGGACAGTAACAACACGTTTGTGGGAAGGAATGTCTCGGGCGATTGTGAGCCCAGCAGGAGTCAGCCGGGGGACGGGAAAGCCAAACAAGGTTGTATGGTCTTGGGCACCACGGTCACAGCGTCAGGAAAGCTCACCCTGCTGTGGCCCTGCTGCTGTGAAGCATGGCGGCTCTGGGCTCCTCTTTTATAGAATCCGACCAAGCAGTTAGAATGTCCATAGCAGGGCAGTGAGATGGTGAGGAGGCCAGAGATGAACCTGTGGGATATTGGCTGGAGAGCCTTGAGGAGAGGGGAGAAGCCTTGCCTGAATTGGGGGTGGGAAGGGGGCACATTCCAGGCATGGGGGCTGTCATCGGGTGTTTAAGAGCAGTTTAGCAGGCACGAGCTTGAAGATGCAGATGGTAGATTTAGGCTCCGTGTGGGGGAAGCTTCGGAAGTGTGGGGAAAGCCAGACAAGCCCGTGGGCAGACTGGGCAGAATGGTCTGTTGTGGGCACTGGGGAGCTCCCTGTCCCTGGAGCTCAGTGACCACTGGCTGGGGATTCTTGGTCAGGTGGGAGTTGTCCTGGTGGATGTCTGAGGCCTTGCTTTGGTCCTACCTGTAGTAGCATTCATTCAGTGCTGGCACTGAATGCAAAAGCATCTACAAAACAGTCCCTGCCCTCAAGGAGCTTGTATTCTCCTGTGCCCAGAGAGATAGATATAAAATACTCACACGGCAGTGACGAAGTAATGAGTGTGGGCTTAGAGAGAGCACTAGCCCCAGGATGGGGGGGGCAGGCAGGGGAGCGGGTGGGAACGCCACGGAGTTTTTAAGAGATCTAGGGAATCTTAGAGGGGCCGGTGAGGAGGGAATAAGAGTCGGCACTTTGTGTGTCACTTAATGTCATACCTGTTTTATGCCTAAAAGAATTTACCTTAGGTTAATTTCCTCTTTAACTGATCCCATTAATTTCAAGAACCTTATTTTGGTTTTTAATCTACTAAATCAAAATGAATTTTGTTGTTTGGATACGTTAGATTGTAAAAAAAAAATCTGTTACAAAGACTTTGCTGTGGTTTAAAGTCTCTCCACTCCCTCCTTGGCACAAAGGTGCCTGAGATTTGGGGATGTTCACTTAGCATGGGCTGTGGAGTGGTGGGTGTCTCACCCACATTTAGCTCTCCCTTCCTCTTCAGCTCATCTGTTTTCCATATGACAATCTCCAGTTCCAGTCTGCTTTGAGGTACATATTTTTAAAGTATGTTTGAACATACAAATTTAAGGAATATTTTGATTTTCAAAAGCCTCTCTTTTGTCAGTCTAGTGTTTGGCCTTTGAATCTGCATGAACAAGCACCACATTTCGTACTGTGTAGGGAGTTTGGAGCTTTGCTTTCAGTCATACCTCTGTTCACATATCTCTCTCACCATTAAAATGATAGATTAAATAGACCCCAAATCCTTAGATGCTTGAACAGGAAACACCGAGAAGGTGCCTCCAGGCACTCCTGACGTGCTGCCTATTCCTGTCTCTGCTTAGCATCACAGACGGCGCAGTGGAGCCACTCAAGGCAGAGCTGGTCGAGCTGGAACAGCTGATCAAGGACCAGCAGGACAAGATTTGTGCGGTGAAGGCCAACATCCTGAGGAATGAGGAGAAGATCCAGAAGATGGTCTATAGCATCAATGTCAGCTCACGACGGTGAAGGCCTGAAGGTGACTTGGAGCCCCACCTATTTTGAAATAAAAGGGAAAGGTGTGTGTATGATAGAAAGCTGTGTCCTTCAACCTCACAGTTTGCTAAGAAAACCATGTCATCAGCCCACCGTGTGACTGAGCTTTTGATGTGTCGCAAGTGTGACGCCCTGGGCGTTGGGCTGTGAGCATTTGCTAGTGACAACCAGTCCCGTTTCAACACCCCCGCAAGCTTCCCCTGCTTGCACACAGCTTGGCCAGTTCCTCTGGGGAGTTATGGAAAGTACACGTTATTGCTCCAAATGACTAAGTCATTCCTTTCTTCTCATCATCTGAGACAGGTCCCAAATTCAAAAATCGTTTGTGCCCTATGAGTCTTAGGGGATCGTTATAGGTCAAGCACAGAGAAGTCTGATGCTAGGGTAAATGAATATTTATATGATAGTCACTTTATAAGTAGAACAAAAAGGCCTTTAAAACACTGAAAGTGAATTTCTGTTTGTGTCTGCATGTGAAAAGGGTTAATATAAGTGCACATGTTCTTTTAAATACTTGTCTGTCTTCATGCTTCTTACCAAATTCTAGCTCAGATATTCCTCTGTACTATTTTCCTGTTGGTTCCTTGCATGTCTTAAAAGTTAATGATTTTTTTCAAATTTCACATTTTTCTGAGTGTCATATTCCTAATATGAAATTGTCTAAGTTCACGCTCTTCTCTCCCACACGTATGCATCGCCATTTGCCAGGCTTGACAGAAATGCAACTCTTTGTAAGGCAGCCATCCCCATCCTCTGAGTTCAGGAAAGGACTCAGTCTTACCTGGCCTGAGTGGTGTTCTGGTGCCTTTGCTTTTCTTTGTAGGAGAATTGTTTGCAAAATGCAAAAGAGAGGCTTTGTAATGACTGCAAAGAGAAGACCAGAGTGGACACATTTATTATTAAGTACTGCTATGTTACCATTTTCGGGAAACTTTCTTTTTTAAAAGCCTATCTTTTTATATTATTTATATGAAGTTTTGCATTTACTTATGACATTGGAGAAACTTACAGAAGTCTCTAAGTTACTGGATAAAGGATTTCGCTGTATTTGGAGACACTTTACTGCTTTCAATTCTGTCTCCTGCTAGTTACATTTCTGAATTTCTGACTGCTGAGGTTATTATGTATGTGCACTGAGGACAGCCCTGTTCACCATTACCATTGTCTAATCCACAGCTGACTTCCTTAGGAATGACTCCGGGTGGCACTGGCAGATGGGCCGTATACTAAAGCTGTTACATGGCAGTGTGGGTGGAAGAGCTCAAGGGAGCTAACCCTTCCCTGGCCTGTTCCCTCCTGCATGCTCCCCAGGTGTTCACATCTGCTCATGGCCTCTTCTGCGCTGGATGGCATGACACTAAAATGACAATCCCTGTCATGCTTTGGGACAAGATATCTTTTATGCCTTTTATGAATCTGTAAATATGACCAGAATTTCTGTGTAGAAAGAGTGGCAGATATACTGTATGTGCATAAAATTTGTACAAAGTAGGGTCTCAAAAATTGTATCATAAAATTTATTTTTCTTTTATATATAATTCATTAAAAAACAATCACCTATTTTTTCTATGAAGTGTATGAGTGGTACAGTTCAGTTCACACCTGGAAACATTATTTATAAGCATTTGAATTATCTTTTTGGAAATTTGTGTGTTTTATTTTGTTCTTGTATGAAAAGTTCAGAGAAATTATTTTTCACATTGATACAACGACATTTCCCTTCTCTGCATTCAATGAAGTTTCCTCTAAGATGGACAAGCATTTCTCAGACGTTCTAAGATCATTAATAATGTTCTTGGGTATCGGTTCAGATGATTATTTTCTGCCTCTTTTTGATGCTGATTAAGTCCTTGTCTTGTTTAGTATTTTGAAAAGACACAGATGAGATCACCTAAATGCTTTCCCCAGTTAGAAACTTTGGTCTATAATTTTTCAATGAATTCTGAAATCACACCATACAGGGATTTGATGAAGGATGACTTGGTGTCCCAAAGGGTGAGTCTGGGAAAAAGCGTGGGTGAGATGGACCGTCAACTTCTCAGCAGCTCGTGGTTTCTCAACGAGCCACTTCTTCCGGGAAATAGTGACCAGTGGTCCACACAGAACTGACTCAGTGACCCCCAGCAAGGCCTTGTCAGGGTTTGGTGTGGTACGTTCTCCAGAAAGAATGGAACCTGAAGTTTAACCCACAGGTTGAACTTTGCCAAATAAACTGTCCACAAGATGCCCTGTCTCTGGTTTGGATTTGTGGGTTTGCCGTGTTGTTCTCTGTCAGACAAATTGCCTGCCTGCTTTGGTGGAGGGAGTGTCCACCATGAGAATGTCCCTCGCTTAGACTGGGGGCGGGTGAGGGGGTAGAGGGAGGAGAGCGGGGGCGGGGTGGGGGGAGGTTAGGGAGATGTGTTATTGTCAGCGTAGCTCCTTGGAGAAGGAGCGGTGGTGGTGGTGGTGGTGGTGGTGGTGGTGTGGTACTAGTAACTCACACTGAGGGCTTTAAAGTTTGCAAAGTGCTTTATCTAAACATGGCTACCTCTGAGCCCCGAAACAGCCCTGAGAGGCAGGTAGTATGGGTAGATTAGCCCCATTTTACAAATGAATCTTGGCTTCAGCGCCAATGTTGGGAGGGATGGCCAAGATGATAGAATCTACAACAGAGCTCAATAGACTAGGACATGAGGCCGAATATAACAGAAGCCAGCCTCAGAAGCACAGGGTGGGACAAGACATTGTCTGAACAAGATCTCGGTGAGTCTGAAATAGGATCCTTGGACCAGAAGAGCTAAGGCCTTTCTGGGCTGCATCAAGACATACGAAGCTCTTGGGAACAAGGAGGGGACTGGTCCTTCAGCACTTGGCCTTTCTCAGATGGCAGCTTGAGGCCTAGGCTCAGTCCTGGGCACTGCCTTGGATGGAAGACTTAGGTAAATAAACTGGAGAGCAAACAGATGGGACTCGTAGGGTGGCGAAAGGCCTTGGACCCATTCCATGGATCAATGAAAGGGCCTAGGATGTCATGTGGAAGAAGGTTTGGTCATGTTCTGTTGGATTCTTTCAACAAATATTTATTCAGGTATACAGAGGCAAAAATGAAACAGCCTCTGCCCTCAAGATGCTTACATTCTGTTGGGGAGAAATAACGTATGCATAGTAAGGTAAATATGGAACATGAGCAGGTAGGTGTATATATAGATATATTATATATCTATGCATACACTCACACCGAGTAGAATAAAATCCACGCGGACAAAGGTCGCAGTGAGGAGGTGCTTCAGTCCAGGTCCAGGGGCCAGCCTGTGTAAAGGTATGCAGATAGCAGGTCAGAAGAAGCAGGTCAGCGTGGCTAGATTGAGAAGCACGTGAAGGGGAGTAAGACACCACAAGCCTAGGACAGGAGCCTGGAGCCGAGTTAGAAACGGCTTGAGAGCCAAGGAAAGGAATTTGTGTGTTACCCCTGAGTCAAGAGGGACCCTCTGGGCCTCCCCAGCAGGCCAGCCGTGTGGTCAGACCTGGTGCGTTAGAGGGAGGAGACTGGATAAGAGGCAGCAGTTAGGAGCTTATCACGGTTGTCCAGGAGAGAGGCGATTGGGATCTGAAGTAGCCCAGTGACCACGTTAGTGGATAGAGGGAGGCAGATGCACGGCAGATGGAGGTAGAATTGACCAGACGGCATCTGAGGGGAGTCCCTCCCAGAACTGAGCTCTGGGGCACACCCACGGTGCATGAGGACGGTGATCCTCCAAAGGAAGCTGAGGAGCAGACGTACAAGTGGGAAGAAAACCAGGAGAGAACAGGGTCGTGCCAACCCCGGGAGGAGAGAGGGGAGTCACCAGCGTTAAAGGCCACAGTGGTTAAGGAGCATGAGAAGCGAGGACTTCACAAAAGCAGCAGAGGACTTCCATCTAGTAGTAGCCCTGAGCTATGTTCCCCTTTGCCATGATCTCTACGATTGGATCCACCTTCCCCTGGACTCTGTATGTACTCCTGGGAGGGTGTCCCAGGCTTGGAATCAGTTGTCATGCTTGGTCCTTAGTACAGCTTCTCAGTAAATGCCCCTTTGTCAAAACGTGTTGATGTCAATTGGATAAATGATATTGGGGAGATATCAACTGTTGAGGTGATTTGGGGGAACACACCGGGTGAGGGCTCATGAGCAACCATACTAAAAACCCCCCATAACCCCTAAGGTTTACCCCTAGAGCCCAGAGGGGAGAAGTAATGGCCACTGACCTTAGTCAGGGGCCCTGACCTTAGTCCCTATGTGACTTGGGAGCATGAGCCTAGAGCCTGGGTCATGATGGATCTGGATGGAGACCTGGAAGAGACCAGAGGTCCTCTACTCCTGACTTTGTTTTACTTTCCAGCAGGGTGTGAACTCTTGGGTGGGGATTGTTTTCTTATTTTTCCTCGAAGCACAGAGCCTGGCACATAGTAGGCTCTTAATAAACAGGTATAGATTTGAATAAAAAAGAAGGGAAGTGACTTAGCCAAAGTCACCCAGGAGTAAGTGGCAGAGCTGGGTTTGGAGCCCAGGTCTTCAGATTCGAAGCCCAGACAAACTGGGAATAGTGAAGTGGACCTGCTTTCCATCATGGTGTCCTCAGTGGAGCCCCAGGATCCACTCTTGGCTGCCTCCCTGACTTCCAGTCTTTCCTCTGCACCCCGCACTTCAGAGCTGCTCTGTGGGAACCCAAAGGAAGGGCAGAAGGCCTGGCAAGCTCCCTAGTGTGCTGGAGTCTGGCAACAACGAGAAGTCTGGTTTGCAGAGTGTTTTCCCCTGTTTAGAAGCATGGGTATGAATTCTGATTCATTTACACTTTCAACATCAAAACCTTCTTCTGTAAATATTATTTTAATGACCAAGAATGTTAATGAATTGGATTTCCCCTTTGGATAAGGTCTGCAGGTTTTGCCAGGGCACCATCAGACTTTTTTCCAAGAGCAGTTGTGTCGAGGTTCATGCAGCAGTACTCTGTGCTGTCTGCTCTAAGGCACCTTCCCTTTGGAGAGCCCAACTGTGTCCCCCTCCCTCCCCAGAGCACGGGACAAGGGGGGCTCATCTGGAGCGGCTGGGCCTTGCTGGAACCAGCCAAACAGGGATCTGGATGCTTTTCTGGAGCAGTCTTGGGCCTTTCCTTCCCTCTGCTATTTCAGTCTTGGAGGAGAAGTGAAGAGGAATGAAAATAGAGGATCCCCAGATAATAGAGCTGGAAGGGACCTCAGAGGCCATTGACTGTAGTACCCTTATTTTACAGATGAGGAAACTGAGGCCCAAGGAGGGTAAATGCCTTTCCCAAGGTCACGCATAACTGGCAATCTAATGAGTCTTGCTGGGAGGTATTGACACAATTGACGATCTCTGGACAGGCTGAGTGATGTAAGGGACAGCAGAAGTCACAGAAGCATTGAGGCACTGACCTATAGTTTGAACTTTGACATCTCCACTTGAATATCCTTCTTGGAAATGAAGGCCCAGAAGAGCAAGGGATTGGTCCGAAGGCCGTGTTGGCGGTGAGTCACTGAGCTGAGTTTTAAACCCAGGTGCTTTGGCTCCAGAACTGGAGCTCCGACCGTAGCACTCTGGACCCTTCCCAGCTGTCAAGCGTCCCAGGAGTTTGAGGCATGGTCTTGAGGATGTTCCAGCAGTCACATGGGCCAGCCAGTAGACAGCAGGACCACGCGGGCTGTCATGGGAAGTGGAGGGAGATAATGGATCCTGCCTGTAGGTCTGGAGATACAGCAAGTTCGGCATTCTGGTGAGGAGCGTGACGCTGCCTGGTCCCTGGAGCTCTTGTTCTGTTTACGACTTTCGTTTGGCATTTGTCTATTTAAAAATAGCAACGACCTGGTTGGCGAGCATTGCCCTTGAGACTGATCTGGGCCCGAACACGACTCCTCTGACCAGTGGCCAGCCAGCCTCTGCTGGAAGGTTCCTAAAGATGGGTCCTTCAGCACCCACTGAGGCAGGCCATCCTCATGTATAGCTTGAGGTCTGGGAGAGCTTCTCCTGAGATTGACTGGGAATCTGTCTCTCAATCACTTCTGCCCATTGCTCCTGGTGTCTTTCGTTCAGCCAAGCATGCATGCATGCGCTCACCAAGCAGTTGTTAATTTTCTGCTATGCACTAAGCAGTGAGAATATAAAGAAAAGAAGAATCAGTCCCTATCCTCAGGAAGTTTACATTCTATTGGGGAGAAACAATCTCTCCACAAAAGTGTTTATGCAAAATATATAGAATGAAAATGCAAGGTCATTTCCAGGGGACCAGGTGAACACCCCCAGGGGGGCGCAGAGAAGCCTCATGGAGCAGAAGGTACTTGCCTGGAATCTGGAAGGAAACGAGATTTTACAAGGCTCAGGTGATGAGGGAGCGTACGCCAGCCTGGGCTTTGTGGCCAAGAAGATCTGCTCTCATTTTTCTCCCATGCAAATACATGCAGCCATCCACTATGTCCTCTTTGGGTCTTCTCCAAAAAGCTTCTCACTGATGGTGGAACTTGTCAAGTCTTGAAGGAAATGAGGGATTCTAGGATAATAATAATAATAGTGAGTATTCTTAATAATAATAATAGCTAATGTTTTAAGGTTTACATGTTATCTTATGTACATGTTATTTGAGGTAGTTATGTGTTTTCTCTTTTTTTTCTTTTTTTTCTTTTTAGGCAGTTGCAGTTAGGTGACTTGCCCAGGGTCACACAGCTAGTAAGTGTCAAGTGTTTGGTCTGAGGCTGGATTTGAACTTAGGTCCTCCTGACTTCAGGGCCAGTGCGCCACCTAGCTGCCCCTGCTCTCTCTTTTAAATCCGTGTTATCTGCTCCTTACAACTGTGGGTGGTAAGAGCTGTTGTTGACCAGATTTCCAAAGCTAGTGTCTGAAGCAGGATTCCTGACCCCCAGTCCATCACTCTATGCATTGTGTCTCTTAGCTGAGCTCACTTATCTCCTTGAGAAGGGCTATATAGAAAAGCAGTTAGCTAATGCAGTGGATAGAGCAGCAGCCCTGAAGTCAGGAGGACCTGAGTTCAAATCCTGCCTTAAACACTTAGCAGCTGTGTGACCCTGGGGAAATCACTTAACCTAGATTTGCCTGCAAAAAAAAAAAAAGTGAAGAGGTCAGACCAAATGACCTCTAAGGTCCCTTTCAGCTCTAATACTCTGTCCTTAAAAAAAGAAGAGCTGTATGGAATGAGGGAGGACATTCTGGGCATAAGGAGCAGCCAGTGCAAA